ATAAAGTTGAGAATTATAAGCTTTTTATGTACTTCTTTAATTACAAAAACTTCAATCACCCATATGTATTTTAGTCAAACTTTTCATATTCTTAAGTTGTAAGTAGAAAAATCATAAATTTTGCATCATATTTGCAATTTAAGTTTTAAAATTAACCAAAAGGTTTTTAAATTAACAGTTTCGATTAGAATTGAGAAAATATTTTTGTCATTATTTGTCACTTTTTTGGTATAGACAATTGTATCTTACTTTTTAAACTTATCTTATGCAAATTCAGTATGTACTTCAGGCACTTAAGTTAAACATTAATGAGTAACGTATAAAATGACATTTCTATTAACGCTCGGTTTTTAATCAAATACGTATCTAAGTGTTGAACACTATCAATATGTCTTCAGAGATATTAATTACTTCAATACTGCTGATATCAAAAGTAATGAAGTTTTCTCAAAATCAAAAACTAACAAGTATGATTTATGATTCGTGAAATCAAATATGCAAAGGTGTTTGTTTTGAAATGCATAACTTTCATTGCTAATTTTGAAATTTAAAACTTAATAGAAAAAATATGCAGCGCGTATTTAATATCATTAAGAATATTTAGTGCTAATAGCAGCAGCAATGTTAACAAGTATTTAACACTTTCTGTTTAATATCATAGTTAGATAATATAGTTATACTTTGTGCTTGTGCAATATTTAAGTTGTGAAACAAAACTATTCACATAAAATCGATTCCCTGCGAGATTTGGTAATTCTATCATATCTTACCACTGCTTTGCAAAATTTCCAAACGTGAAAAATTCGAAGTGCAAGTCAATCTCAAGCTTAGTTATTGTTAAATTTGTATTGCATTGGGTTTATTTTTGTATAATCTAAGAAAAAATGCCAACTTTAATCACAAATTGACTTACTTTTCGTCTTTAAGGAAGAAACTGAGCAATTTGTATCTGACGAAATGATATAATAACATAATTAATTTTTGGCAATAACTCATTTCTAACAGACCTTTTCAATGCGTGAGAATAATTCCGATTTTTATCGATTAAGCTGCAAAAATCCATTGAATATTGAATACCTTTTGATATGCAGACTTTTACGTTATTATATGCAAACTGTAGAAATAAAATATGCAGAGTAACTTTCTGGAATTAATTATATCAATTTTTATACTAATTTATCTTCTTATTAAAGTGAGTTAATTTTTTTAGGTCAGTATTTTTAATTAAGTTGGTGAAAAAAATCAACTGGATGATTGAATTATTTTTGCCCTCTAACATCTATGATGAATAAAAATTTATGATTATTTGTGTTTAGAGCTTTGATTGATTTTTGAATGATTACTGTTCTCAGTTCTCGATCGATCAATTTTTTTACGTTTGAAAATTTTGTTTTTGGTCTGATCAAAATATTGGCAGTATGCAAATATCGTTGTATTTTTGCTAAATAAACATCATTTTGTACTTATCAATCTTTCAATTTTATAACCTTTTGCTCAGTTTCATATGTAGCAATATTTTTTCGCTTACTTTACATCAATGTTCAATATGAATACAATAATCTAACTAGAATTAGCAATAGCATAGTAAGAAAAATTTTCTTGCGAATTACGACTATGAAAAATGATAAAGTGGCTGAAAGCAGTGTAGTAAATAATATGCTATCAATAGCATTTGTTACACTTTGCTGCTGAGCCATCGACAAATGAATCAAAGAAAAAATAAATGAAAGAAAATTTGAAATAAATAATAATATTGCAATTATTTTTGAATTTAATTGAGTGCTTCCTTTTGATATTTTCAGTTCCACAATTTGTATTGCCGTTCAATTTGCTTTTTTTGCATTCTGTCGTCAACATTTATGAGAACATTTTTCAGTTTCATCTATTAAAAAGATAGATAGTTCAGTTTATTGACTCAAGAATAGTTTTCGTTTGGCAAAAAATATTCCGTAAACAGTCGCAGGACAAATTTTTCATCAATTATACCAAATGAACTATGTGCATACTAATTTTCAATCAAAATAAACATTTTTATGGTTTTTAAAAGTCTTATAGTCGACAAGAGTGATACATTGAATATCACAGTGCATGGTGAATATAAAAGGTCAAGCAGTGCGAGGGTCAAGCTCAAACTTTTATTCTAACTTCTACAGACTAAGCAGCACTACTGAAATTGATAAAATTAGCTTTTTAGTGTGTACTTCTTTTTGTAGTTATGTATTTTTTCACAATAATGTGCAATAACGTTTTTTTTTGCTTTTTTTGTGAAGAATATATTGCTTGGCAGACTAACGCTTTCAGAATGAGTAAATAATTAAATGTTTCGCATGAAAATGAGAAAAAAAGTCTGCATTCGGACTTATTCACCCAAATTTATAAAATGTTACATTTCAGATAGCACATTTTATTATCTGCTATTAAATGATTGATCATAGCAGCAACGATAATTTTGATATTTACTGTAATAGCAATTATTGTTTAATTTTTCCCATGTCATTACATATGAGTATTTATACTTTTCTCAGGTTTTCAATGAACATAAATAATTTCTTGCCGAAAATGTCCACTTTTTTTGTTTAGTTAATTTTCATTTTTTCCAACCATAGCAAATAGTGTCATTTTATTTAACAGAATTCATAGGTTAATTATGCGTAGGAATCAGAAAAGTTATTCATTTTAAAAGCTGGGAAATTCATGCGTGAGATTTCTTATGACTTTGCAAGTATCATTTTTGTTTTTGAAAAGTCTGTACTGAATGAAAAGACATTAGATGCAAAATTAAGAAGAAATATTTGCGTGAAATTTCTTATGCCTTTGCAAGTATGCATAGTTTGAACTCTTTTCTGATTCTCAAAGTAGGAAAGACCTCCCAACCAGCCATCCACCCGTCAGTTGTTGTTTTCAACAATAGTTAATACCTTTTCACTTACTAACTAACAACTTTAATTTGCTATATCTTTATACATTTCTTTCTTTCTCAGTAGTATACGCTGCAGTATGTCAAAATACAGTTATACATATAGTTACAAGGAACCACCACAAGCATTACTGTACTACAATTCGCCATTAGCTAAAAATGCGATCAAAATTGTAAAAGCGTTTGATCTTCAAAGATGCTTTCTCAAACTGCATATGAAAACAAAAAGAATATTGCTTTGAAACTGTTATGGGTTGGAATATTGAGATATGTAAGTTTGAAGTAATTAGTTCGACTCTAATCGTACTGAATTTTGAACTTTGAGTTATTATTATGAACTGAAGGAGTTGAAATGAGTCTTTGACATCCTTGTTAAGCGAACAGCGCTAAGTCCTTTAACTCAACTTCGTCTTTTCTCTTCTGGCAGTCAGAAATGAAGGTTTGAGATTTTCCTTTTGCAGAATAGTCGTTCTTTAAATTTGCAATGAGTATTATTAATACCTTCTCTAATAAATACTTTAGTAAGACTGATCTTAGTGTGATTATGTTTTATAGGATTGGATTTAAAAAGATTAGCTTAATAGCATGCACCTTTTAATCTAGGCTAGCAGTTAAAGTTTCTTGATTGACACTTAGCAAGAATTCGTTTACATGTTTATTTTGAATGATAGCAAAGTTTTAATGAGTCAATTTGTCGTTCTCTCCAACTGATTTCTTTGCTTTCTTCAAATTCTTGAACTAAAATGTGTTATAGAAATTTAGATGAAAGCTTTGATTTGTTTTTAAAATTTTGAGATTTCAACAATTTTTCAAATAATTTTCTTTTATTTCATCACTTTCTTTTACTTATAGTCAAGAATTAATTGTAATTTAAAATTTACTTTTTATTACTAATATAAAATTTCGAAAGGACAGAAAATCTAAAAGTTTAATAATATAATACTCACTTTTACTTTTTCACGCAAATGCAGAAATAAGCTTTGTTTTTCAAGGAGTAATTTATCATATTTTTATCACTGATATTTTTTTTGTGAGACATAAACTTTATATCAGTGAGTCTAAAATATGTATTTCGATTCATATTTCAATTCCAATTTGATTTTTTATTCTCTAACTATAACTTTAATTTTTTTAAAGTCTTATTTTGAAATAAACATTGTTTCTTTATAAACTCAAATTAATTGTCTCGTGACTGTGGTTTTGCAGAAATTTAATTTATCATTCCAATTTCATACTTTCATGCTTTTGAAATTAAACCAATTTGATCAAAATTTAATTAAATTCTTTATTTCATTTTACATATTTATCAATTTTAATTATTACTGGAATTCTTTTCATTATTTTGACTTATCATTTGTTTTTAGACCACATCTGTACGTGTACTCTTATCAATAATACTTTCTTGAGCACCGCTGACTTCTTTTTTAAATTTAATATTAAACCTAATATAATGAAAATCAAATATGAATTACAGATTTCAGTTCTAATCTTTTTGTCACTAAAAATGTTAATAAACAAAATCCAATAGTTCGTCCTGCAATTGTATATTTTTATTTTGTTTTTGCTAATATAGCCCTCAAATTCATTTTATTAATTAAAGGTCAAAAGTTGCTGCTCAATTGCAACTTTTTAAAGCAAAAGAGAATTTTGAGAATACAATTTTTGTTCATTTTTTCTTTCCCTTTTGATCTAGAAACTTGCCATATTAATATTTTTACCACAACTATCTACCATTTTATTAACTGCTTGATAAAACTTATACTTTGAAGCTCAAAGTATTGAAAAAACTTCCTCTAGTTTTTTGTTCGATGTAAGTTTTGAGATTTCAAAGGAGTTAACGGCTATTAAAAAAGCAAATTAGATTTAATTCGTCCAATCATGAAAATGCATTTATTCATTATAATAACTATTAACAATAATTGTTGGGAAATCGCTATTATCACTAGTGATTTTTATTCTTGTATGAAATCCATTATTTACACTTAAATATATCATTTAGCTTTCATCTAAGAACTCATAAAGTCGTAGGAGACAATCTAAAATTTCCATTAAAAATTGTATGAAATGACAGGAAAAAAGTGGCATGCCACCCTTACCACCACCAAAGCCACGTGTGAATTTAGAAGCAAAAATGAATGCAGCTAACGATCGTTTTGTATCGGAACAGATAAGGTATGCTTTAGATCATTCTTACAGTTCTTGGAGTTATGTACAGTGTAATTTCGTTAGCTGTAAACATTGTGAAGCGCTTACATTGCTGCAACATATTTTATTTTTCACTTAGAAATAATTCTAAGAATAATTTATTATTTGATTGAATTTCTAATTTTCTTTGAACTTTGGAATGCTTTTATGCAATAATGATTGACTAATTCATTGCAAAACATTGAAAGTACTAAACTGTGACTTTTTAAGTAAACTAAAAATTTCGAAAATTAAAAATTGTGTTTTGAATTCCAATTTCTTTTTCAAAGTATGAAGACAAAACATTGTGTAAATGGATAAATTTTGATTTTTTTTTCGGAAAATTTATGCTCAACAGTTATTTACGGAAGTATTTTTGATATTTTATTCACGGGAACATTCTAAATGTTATGCAAGACTAAACAAATTATTGAAGTATACTAGTAAACTGCTGCACAAACTATAATGAAAATTATTGGAATAGAAAATTATTATTTAAGGTATAAAAGTATGCAAATGTTTCAAGAAAGCTAAAAAAGAATTTTTATAATTTTAATTTATTTTGATTTTTTAAAAACCTAATATTTATAATTAAAATTATGCGTAAATTGGATTTAGGGGAAACGATCAGATAATTACAAGAGCACATTCGGTGCTGCCAGCATCCGTTAGGCCTGTCCCAGCAGGCATAGCTCACTTTGGTCACGGAGGTACGGATGAGGAGTACATACCAACATCACGAGCTATCGAGCCTGATCTGGTTGCTAAAGACAGGTTAATTTATCTATATCTAATAATTAACTAAAGATTAATTTAAGAAATTTCGCTAATTTGTTTTGTTTTGTTTCTTGTTATAAACTTAAACTTCACAGTGATTAATGATTTGATTGGAAACAATACAATTTGAAATGTTAAATACTTTTGGAAGTGTTTAGGAAATAATCAAATTGCTCATGAAAAATCATGTATTTTCTTTCGAATATAATATTTTCGATCAAATTTCACATCGCTAATGATCTATTCAACAGATCACTTTCATGCAGGTATGATCCAGCGAGTAAATGCTTCTCGTACGTACCTGCACGAGCTCTAAGCGAGCATTTCACTACACCGCGAAAACCGCAGCGAGCTAAAATGGAAGAACACGTCACTTCGGCCTTGAACGTTGAGCCTTCACAGTCCGAAATCGCATCGGTATCTGTAAAACATTCCGAGTTACAACGACGACCTGAAACACCGAAGTGGGAAGACGACATTGAAAAGGTTCACTTCTTTGATGATTATTGAAATCATACCCTCGTGACGTTTGTCCTTTCTTAATTGCCAATAAGTTCATTTATTTTCACTGTCACTATAAGGCTCACACAAATGTCGGTTTGCAAGCTTAAAGTGGGAGCCAAACTTGAAAGTGTCTCTTATTTCAGTCATGAAATTTAAAATTTTTTCTTCAAAAATTTAGTCTCTTTCTATGATTTCTTTGACATTCGAAATTAAAACTGCAAAAAAATTACTAAAATTTCATGAAAAGAGAATTATGGTTTGTTTTCAACGAAAATAAAGCTGAAAAAAATCAACTATTTTTAGAAACACAATTTTAACGTTGAAAAAAATTTATTTTGCTGCAACTTCAAACAAAATGTAAAGATTGCTATCAGATTTTCATTACTAATCCATTATTTGTTTGAATGTTTTGATCTTTTCTCACCAAAAGTTTGGTCTAAAAAATGTTATAGAGAACAAACTTTTCAAAAATAGAGCAATAAAACAGCTCTAAAACTTTAAGTGCAATGCATTTAGTGTGAAATATTGTTGTGTAAAAAATTACTCGTAAGTAAAGGCAATTAATTTGCATAGAGCGTTTAAAAAAATTATTTGAGGTTTCATATTATGATTACTGCAATCTGTGATTGAGGAATCAAAATAATAATTTCTGTTCAAACAATTTTCCAAAAAATAACGAAGTATTTTTGAAATGAAAATTCATTGCCGCTATGATATTAATATAAACAACTAGCACATAATCTGCTTTTATTTTTATCGACAGAAATCAAAAATTTTAAAAGATTCAATCATGAAAAGAATCTTTTGAACTTTCAAATGAATTGTTTTTTGACATGCAGAAGTTTTCACTACAAATAAAATATAAATTCGCTCGATGACACGGAAGGTTTAGCTTGAATTCTTGAAAATTCCATAGAGTCTTAGAAGTAAATGCAGAAAAATGAGCATCGTAAAAGTATTATTATTTATGATAAATACGACGAGTAGTATTACTTTCAGCGAAAATTTTAGTATTTTTCATCTTTCCCCCAAAAGTTTTCATATTTAAAACCAATTTAAAACTGAAATGGCTTTGTTTCAACAAAACACTTTCAACACGAAAACTGATAATTATCTGCGCACTGATTAACTCTCCAGTGCTTAAAACATGATGCAAAATATGACTTTTAGCAAAATTGCTTTGATATTTCTTTAGATGAAAAATGATATGGAATATTTTATCAAGTGTTGTCAGTTTTATAATGATAATTTCAAGGGAAACAATACTGATGCAAATTATAAGCGAATAATTTTTGAGACATTAATTTTGCAGTAATATGAAAATTAATGCGCCAATTTTACGCCAATTATTAAGGTCATTTCTTCAAAATTAAACAATTAAGATTAAAGGCGGAATGACAGAATTTTGACAATTGCTCAATGTAATGCAAAAATTATTTGAGTTTTTGTTTCGTTGACAGCAATTATTGATAATACCAAAGAAGGTTTTCAGCGGCTTCAATAGATCTTTAAAACATATAAGGAAGAATCTAATCACTTTCACAAAAAACCTAAAATAGACAGATCAGCAGATTTTATGAATAATTTTTTACTTATAAAATAAATTATACAAAAAAAATCTTTATCTGATCATTCAGTCAATAATGTCAAATTACTTTCTCCTTCAATCCATATTATTAATAATTTCCTTATTTAAAGTGCTAGCTTAAAAAATTTTTAATGATTTTGCAAGTCAGAAAACTATGAGCTGATAGATTCAATGAAAGTCAAGCAGTTAATCAATTATTTGACAAAAATAGTAGAATGCATTAGTTTTATTGCTGCAAAATATTCCAAAAAATTATTGGTGTAATAAATTTGCGTATTTTAATTTTTTTAACTGCAGATAATTACTGACTTCAGAGTAAAATTATCAGAGCATCGGGAAATTAAAATTACTTTACTTACTTTTTTCCAATTCAGATGAGTAATACTGCTTTGTTTGGATTGCGTAGTGGAATGTCAGGGATGAGCAGTGCGACTCCCACTGATTTCGATCGTAGCGGTAATGGCCCTCTTGCGAATTCCACTCCTAAAGCTGAATCTCCAACATCCCATCCAACAACAAATTTCGAAGAAAAAGCCATTGTACGCTTCGATTTTCGTTTGTAAACAATTCAATACAGTCATTTGCAAATTGTAATGGCAGTGTATGCCATAGAATTTACTTACTGCACAAATTTGCAGTACAAACAGTCATGTTTAAAAGTTGTAAATACTAAAGTAATTAAAAGTAATTTTGACACTGAAATATATCGTTGAATTTAATGAAAAATAAACAAGCTTTGCTTTTCGCATATCAGTGCTTTTTTATCTAGAATATGAACGATAGCATCAGTTACAGGCAGTGGAACAAGCTAAATGTTTACCGAAACGACGAAAAACAAAATATGGCTCGTACAAGACGTTAAATGATGATGCTTACAAGTATGATACTGCTTGTTTTAAAGTCATATTTTACAGATTTCTGAATTTTTCTACAATTATTCAATTTTTTTTTTAGTTTTTATTAATTTGTTTGATTTAACGAGAACAATTTTAAACAAGTTTTAACTTCTAATGGTTTATACATTTCAAATCATCATCTGAATTGTATTAGCAGCGATATGGATGACCTATGTGATCCAGATTTTTATCTTACTTACGCATCGCAACCGAATACACCAATCGCAAGCAGTTCAGCCAGATCATTGAAGCCAAGTAAAGTTATAGATAATTTTTGCGTAACCAACAAAATCATACTAACTATTTATAATTAAATTACAGGTCGGAGTTCAGCAGTAATGATTAATGGGCCGGAACAATATCGTAGTAGCAGAATGACAGCAGCGAGAAGAAATAATCCCAGTTCAGTAGATATTGACTTACCTGAGAAATCCTCCAAAGATCGGTCTTATCAGTAAGTACTTCTTTTCGGTACTAATTGTCACCTAAGTGACGTCAATGGCGGTCAAGGTCACATACATGATGTTGAGTCATAACTGATGTAAAAATTATGGCAAAATTACAGTTTAAAATGAATCCAAAGTAGTGACAAATTCAATGCTAGCGATCATAGCAGTATGCATTAAATTTGTGCAGCACACAAGTGAATACCTATTTATTCATTATTGCCATGATTATAATTGAGATTTCGATGATAGCTACAAAAATGAATGAAATATTAGTGAACGGAAGATATATATTTGAGGTACAAATAAATCAAGACTCCATACTTATGGTTTTAGAAAGTACTACTAGTGTTTGCTTTCAATAGAAATTTTTGAGGGCAAAAAATATCGAAATAGAGAAATGAGTTGTTGAGTGCTATTAACAATAATCTATGAAAGTGTTTTTGGGCACAAAGTAAATAGAAAAGCACTTTCAATTTGCTGATCGATTAAAAATTCAGTTTGGAATCTGAAAATTCTTTTCTTCGTTTCAAATGTATTTTGAGAAACTTGTTGATTGGTCGTTGGTGGCAAAAAGTTCCTGGAAAGCTTGCTTAGTGCTGTGGTAAATCACAGTATTTTATTTTAAATCCAAAATTTTAATGTCAAATAGAAATAATGAATTTATAAATTAAATTTTCCAAATTTTTTGATATTTCTGCGTAAAGTAGAATCGATGAACTTTCTAGGCCACTGCAAATTTAGATATCTTTTAGAACGCAAATATCGAGTGAGGTTTATTCCTCTCAACCAAAATTAGCAACTTCTTTAAGTAATATTAACCAAGATCGAGAATCGTTCCGAATGCGCAACTGTCGTTCGGCTACTTCCACTTCCTTTCCTCGGTATATTATTTTCGAGCCATAATTTAACTTCACTGTGATTTTTCCACACCTATATATTCAGTTTAATATTGATTAATTCATTTAAAGCAGTTTTAATATTTTTTTTCCAATGAAACAATTAGGGTGAGTAACTTGAAGAATATCGGTTTCCTTCATTTACAAAAATTGGTTTACTATTATTTGCAAAAAAAGATACTTTTTTAATATATTTATTGGTTTTTTTAGTTAGTTCTTAGATGTTTTTTTATTACTTTAATGTTTTTTTTATTTTTAATTTGTAATCTTCTATCAGTAAAATATAACTGAAACTGTTGAAATATATATTATTGATTTAATTTGAAATGCAGCTTTGCTTTGCAGCGAATCGCCAGGAAGTCGCTTGTTTGGACATGATCGCTACGACTCGCTGACTGATGCAGAAAATGCTGATGACTGGCTGCAGTTACAATTTAAAAAGTTGAAAGCAAAGCGGGAAAATAATCCAGAAGTAATTAGACGGAAACGGCAAGAAAAATTACTTCTCGACGTAAATATTTGTGAATTTTTAAGAATTTCGTCTTGACTTTTGACAAAAAAATGATCAATAATTTTTTTGAGAAAATAGAATATAGTGAATTAATTTACGTGTTCTTTTTCAAGTACTTGACGTACAGATAGTGGAACAAACATCCAATTTTTTTCTGAATTGCTTTAAATTCATGCTTAAATTCTTCGCATACTAAATTTTACTTTATCAAACAATATATTTTATCTTTTTTTGAGCTTTATTTTTTATGCATTATTCCATCTAATTGCATTTATTAATTTTGCTTATGCTCGATAATTTATTAATAAAAAGTTCACTCAAAATTCATAAATTTAGACTGCAAAAAAAATTTTAACTTCGGAATTATCTGCTATTTGATTCAGAAAGTATTGAAGACAGTGCAGTGGTAAATTATCTATCTATGTAGTACTGAATTGTTATTTACTCAAAGATTAATGATATTTTAATTAGATGCTCCAATATGTAATCAAATACTTTCATAAATGCGAATATTTATGCAAATATTTATATAATTTATAAATTATTTTATGGAAGAATTTGATGAATGATCTGGTTAAGAATATTTACAATTTTGTGCATTATAATTATAAATCTACAATTATTAAATAATTATATAATTAACTGATAGTAAGATTAAGTGAACAATACAGGAATTAAAGCATGTTAATGATGAGAAGCAAATTGCTCGTAAATATGATGAGTGCATATATACTGTCGAGGGTTATGGTCAACGTGATTATTCGCCTGGAGAATACCGTATGCAAGAAGTGCGCTTACAGAATTCTCAAACACCGTATCATGAAAATCAACGGGTAATTGGTGATTCGCAATATTCCTTGCGAAGAATTACGCCACAAAAGTATGTGCCGTCTTACTTTAGTTGTCGTTATTGAATCAATTATTCAAATTATTTATCGTTTCTTAAATTTTAATTCACTTATTCAACTGCTCAGTAATATCCGAATACAGAATTGAGATGTAAACAAACTTTGATTCCTTTCATAATTACAAATTGAAAAAGTATAATTTTCTATGCAAAAGTGAAATTTCTAGAGCGACAGATGTTGTTAGGCACAAACCACCAACGCCACCACCTCGCGCTCGTTCACGTAGTCCAACATCAAGTCCATATCTGCGACAGCTTCGTACTAGAACACCATTTCAAGAAGTATTGTCACCAGAAATTTTATCCTTTTTCGTGATTCATAAAAGTTTAATTACACTAAAATTAATTACATTTATCTTTTTTGGTTCAATAAATTTCGATCATTTTATTTATTATTTTTATAACTTTTGACTAAAAATAAAAAAAATCATCAGCATTCAACACATTTGGAGCGAAATCAACTGAATCGCAATGATAGCAGTGAACGCGAAAGTAGTGATTTTGCTGATAACCGATTCAGTTTTAAAAGTGCTACTAAAGTATGTTGTAGACCTTTTTTTATACTACTAATATTAGACTTTTATCATGATTGTCTTGAATATTTCTGAGATGGAAGAAAATTATTAAATAAAGTTGCCATTCATTTAATCATTCATTCGGCTTTTCTTATTCTAAAGAGTATGAAAGTTGCTAAAAACAACAAGCATTTTTATGATTGCTTGCTTTGCAATGTCAAGAAATTAAAATGGCGTATTTCCTTTTACTGACAAATTATTTTCTGAGAAACAAAACTTGCTAAACTTTCTGTATTTTTGTAATCAATAAGCAGTAAATCTCATATTCGTTAGTCTCTCAAGTCGCTTGATTCCAATTCCGAAAATTGTACTTGATAATGCTGTGCTCTATTAATGCTTTTTCTTTTTCATATCCATTACAAGGAAGGATTTATAATTTTGGGAGAGTTTTCCATCAATTCGTAGGAGAGTTAATCCATTTTTCAATTCATATCTTAATACTTTTTTCCCATCAAAACACTCCGGAATAATGTCAAATGCATTACCATTGAATATCATCTACACATTACGCAACTGATGCTCCTACTTATTAAATTACTTCACTTTGTCTCTTTAGAACTGCCTATCCATAATTCATGCATTCCTAATTTTCTAGAAGGCTTTTTGGATCTTTTTGATAAGAAGTGAATTTTCAGCAAACTATTCATAGCATCAAACTTGAAAATTGTAATTTATCCGTGCATATGTTTATTTACGCATCCATCCGCTCGTTCATCTCTGCAAACTTTCCATCACTCCTTCTTCTTAAATGTCCATCAAAAACATTTTGTCTTACATAACTTCATTTCACTTCATTTCACAAATTTGTCAGCATTCCTCGCCGCCTTAACATCTTCCTTTTTCCCTTTTTTTTGAACTTTTTGTACAACCCATATTACTAATCATATTGATGATCACTATTATAAAAATCAATATTACTGGTATTTATATTATTTTAGCGCTGAGGCTTGAATTTTCTTAGTCTCAGTTTTTCTATCCTTTTCCTGATAAAGAAAGTAGAATTTGTTTTTATCAATTATCATTTATTCACTGCTATTAATGCAAGTTTATCTAAAAATTACTTTTCAATAATGTCAAATTTCTATGTGGAAATTTCTAGTATTTCTTCTTGTTAGACAAAATTGGATAAAAAAATCAATTGATTCCAGAATTTGAAAATCTCAACATTAATTTGATGAGTTAGAATCTGCCGTTGGTCAAACTGATCTCAGTCGATGACTTTCAATTATTTTGTCGGATATAAAGCAAATATTATGAGAATTAATTGCAAATTTAAATGAAATAGAAAATAAAATGTCGAATTTTCATCAAATAATTTGCCTTTCAACAATGCCAAACGTTGCAAATTTATTTACCGCAGGCATGCAAGAAAGGACAATTTTCAGCATTTGCAAGCAATGCTTTGGCAGTTTGAAAAATTTATGAATAATTGTGCGCTTGAGTTTGTCTTGGTTGAGTTCTTGGAAAATCAGTCTTATCTTTGCTTTCATTACTAATGCAGAACTTGCATGAATTTGTTTTTGGCGTTCTAAAATTCAATTTCCTCTGCAGAAATGTCTGAGTAATCTGTCTTCTGTTCAAAATAACGAATAGAAGGCGGAATTCGACTCAGCAATTTTTTTAATGCGCTCTGTATATTTATTATTATTGTATTCAGTTATTTATAGCTTTTCCAAATACGACGAAGTATTGAAAATTTTCATATTCAAGAAATTAATAACAGTTATAATTCACCTCACTTTTTAAAAAAGTATTTATTGCATACGAAATGAACTCTTTGTAAATTATAACTAGTAATACCAGTGATCATCAAGAATTTTATTTGTTCTGATAGTAAAGGTAAACATAATTACTTCACATCTACTGTTTTGATCTTTAATCAAATAATCACTGAATGAGTTACTAGATTAAAAGTCTGATTGTATAATTTAAAGATATGTAAGGTTGCAAATTGTCTGATAAAAAAGAATTTATTCGAAATTTATTTAACATTTTAGTTATATTTAAAATTCAAAAAATTCAGATCATGAAAGTCTACTTTAAAAAGGATGTAACCTCACATTCATCAGTTTCACTTTTTTATTTAACAGTTCTTTATTTCTGAAAATATAGCTTTTTTCTTTGAAAAGTCTTTTAAATTTTTATATTCCTATAAAATTTTATAAGTCTCCTAATATGAATTCTACGCTGAATTTATTGATTTAGGAGAATCAGAGCGATAACGTAGAATTCAGCTCTTCAACAAGTTCAATGAAATCAATACTCAAAAAGCGCGACGTCCCGAATGGCACTCAACCACAAGTAATTAATCGTCGTGCATCAACTCCTGGAGAGGTCTCACATTTCTAAATATTTCTAAATTGTAATAGTCACCAATTTTTCTTCGAAAAAGTGATTTAACTTTTTGGAAAATGTATTTTAATGGTAGAAAGTTTTTTTCCGCATCAGAATTTTCTTAAAACTGGTAAAAACGTAAATAGTAAAAAATGCTATGTGTGCAATGTAGCTGTGATCCTGAAAACTTGACAAAGTAAGGATGTGACTAGGGATTTTTAATAAATAAATTTATGACAAGTATGTTTAATATGTGTGAGGTTAGAATTGTTGACACAAGTTTCATTTGAAACGGCTTCTGAAGCAGAAATTTTGCTACAATGTACCTTTTTTTTATAAGTTTGATCTAATTCGTACTGTTCGATTTTGTATTTAATTAGAATTTTAATTTAATAGTGATTAAAAGTTTTGATAGTTAGTGAAAATATAAAGAAATTTCAGGAATGGTCCTTAGGGTCATCTTCCACCCGTGCTGCAACACCTGCATTCCCGGTACGTCGTGAAACACCACTACCTTATCATCCACTCTTATTTGAAGGTGCCAAAGATGTGGTATCATCGATGCAACCAGTAAATAACATCACTTGCAGGTAATTTCATTCAAATGCTTGATTATTTACTAGTAACTTTCGCTATACCCGATAAAACTCAATTCAGTCTTGCTAGTGCATGTTTTAGAAATATATCTTGACTAAATTTTGAACTTGAAGGAAAAGATTTCGTGCTACTAAAAGCTTCCGTCCCGCTAAAATCTTCTCAGTCTTTAAAACTGTCAATTCATCAATTTAAAACAAATTTTAAGTAAAAGTCAAGGTTAAAATTGGAAATACATTATTTCCTTACTCCTTCCTTATAAGGAATACCGCTTCAGGTCTCCATCACCACATTCAGGCTACTATGCGCAAAGTCATCGTACTTCAATTTCTTCAGCTGGTAATTTTTTCAACTTCAGTAACATTTCCAACCAATTATTACTTTAAAAACAACCAGTTTGAATTAGACTACTACTTGTCAAGTGAAAACTTGACTCACTTCATTTTTATTTCTATATGACTATTTGAAACTTCTCTGATCCAGTTTTTTCTCCCACAAAATATTTTAAAAAGTTTAAAACTAAGAAAGTAAAAAAATTGATTTCCTCCAAGTATTGAACTTTCTGACTTCCTGATTTAAAACTTTTGAAATTTTACTTTGCAGAATCACAAAAACAAGCAAAGCAAAAATTTGAAGTTCAAAACATTTTTCAAATTAAATAAATATTTTCAAGGTGGCTTTATAATATTCATTTTCTGTTTTAAACGAAACATTTACAAAAAATTGTTTCATGAAACCCGAAAAAACATTGTTTTGGATGGTATCTTTTCTTGTCTGATTTGGTGAACATTGCTTTCAAGTATTTTTTTCTACAATACAAAATTTACAGTAGAATATCCATGAACCATACTTGACCTTTGGACTGTTGATAGTATGACTCTTGACTCTTATGCGAATATCTCTTTCATACTTTTCTGGCAAAAAAGTTTTTGTTTTTTACTTCAGTATTTTTTAAATGTTGCTATCTAAAAAAATATCTATTTTTTCCTCAACAAAACAAAAACAAAAAGCAAAAACAAAACGGATAAATTAATGTTTCATTTTAAAAAATGAAAAGTGAGTGGTGCGTCCATTTTGAGATTCGTTTCGGATTTGTTTGCGCTCAGACAAGAATAACTTCGTTGCTTCATTGCTACTTAAGACAATTTTTAGTAATTTGTATTATATCTAAATTTGTATATTTTTAGTTCTTGCGTAATGACTGACCACTTTTGGTTATTATAAGTCATATTAACTGCCTGTTTCACCAACCATGCAATGGACAGACCTGTTTGATTTTTATTTCTTTTTAATTTTCTTCCTACTATTCTTTCTATCATTATTTTTATTTTTCCAATTTTTGACAGGAAGTTTCCTTATTTGTAAAGTATGGCCTAGATAATATTATTATTGTTATTCTTGTTATAGCTTTCCTGTTTGGTATTTTTTAGTTTCTTTTAATAAAGTAACGGAGCAAATTATTTACTAAATGTTATATAATTCAAGGAATTCATTATGTATTCTCAAATATCACTTTTTCGATTATCAGCTTATAACTATAAATTTCTTTAATGTACAAAAGACAAGTTAAATTATGCATATTATTGTAATTTTTTGCTTATGTATAAATTTAATATATTATTGATGCACAGGTTTATGAATAAAATTGAAAATTCATTTCGTTCAATTAATCTTAATAGAATACTACATTCATTATCCAAATAATGATTGTTGATCATATTTCAGAAGCCCTGATTTGCATTATAAATTTTGTATACAAAGTTTAGCATTCTACTTTCTGAGGAAAGATTTAAATTCATCACTTTTGTTAAGGAATTCTGAGATTATTTTGAATTTTAATCACCTTTTTAGTCATAAATATTGAAATAACTTCAAAGTTTTCGATGATTTGTCGAAAAACAACAAATTCTCGAGAAATCTTAATTAAGCCTCTCTCTGCTTAAGACAGTTGTTTATTAGTTGTTTTTAGAGAGAATAAATTTCTGGCAATTTTTGTTGATTCTTTTCAACATGATTCCGCTTCTTTATTTTCATTATCACAGTTCTATTCATAATTGTTTATTACTCATTTATGATTGAAGTTGCAATTTATATTGTTTATTAATATGGGCCATCTGCTGCTCTACTCTTTGCTGTAGTAGATTTAATTCATTTCTTCTTCTTCCAAACATTTATTTTAGAAAGCTTACAAATGAGATTCAGAAAGTTCAGTCTTTTACATATTTTTTCATGTTTTTGTAATTAAATTTTTCGGTTCTTTGAACTTTTTCAATATTTTTTATGTCAGGTTTTTTGATTGGTTTTTATAGTTACTGCAAGTTTTTCAGATATTTAAAAGCATTAAAAAAAATTTTTCGAACACTAATTGAATTATATTCAACACACATTCTTTTAAAAAATTATGAAGTCTTCATTTAACTAAAATAATCATAACTAATTTTAATAATCATTTTAGAAGTAATATTAGGATGACAGAATTTATCGCAGTTAAAAAACATTACAAATTTACTGTTTTTGGTTGTTACTAAATTTTTTTAACTAAATTTAAAAAAAATTTCCCCAAATTTTTATTTTATAAGACACAGCAGATACTAAAATGATAAATTGTTAATGTCTGTTATCTAAGCATAGTTTCAAGTCATGAAAGAATATTGTTACTTCTTTGGTGGAGGCTTTATCAATAAGATTTGTTTTCCTAATGAGATTTGATTGAACATTTCTTCTTAAAATTGGAAACGAATTCAGAAGGAAAATTAAAAAAAATTTGGATGTGAAAGTTTAGAAAAACACGTAATATTTTTTAGTGCTCTTGCGGATTGCATCATTTTATTTCGTTGGGCAAAAGTTAGACTAATGTAATATCAATTTATGAAAGAATTGAAAAAATAGTTGTGATATGGCTGATATATCACAGGTGCCTATCAAACTACATAATAAACACACTTTTATCCTATTACTACTGCTATACTTTCAGTACTTTTAAATTTTTTCACAGAATCTTCAGATGAGTTAAATACCAGTTGAAAATTTATGTTAATTGTTGATTTAGTCTTTAGGCATTCAAAAAGATCTGCAGAATTAGATTTGTAATGATCAGAATAGCTCGTTTGATTGCTTTTAAATCTTCAGCTGGCAAGGAGACTGCATCATTGACTATTTTGATAACGCTATTGATCTGATCTGATGTTTTGTAAGAGAAATTATTCAAAATTATCTGAGCTTTTTGTACTATTTCATTTATAATTCTTTTTGAAAGTAATAAAGATCAAAAAGTAATAAAGTTGAATCAAAATAAAGTATTGTTTTCTTGGTCTTTTTTTGTCTTCTAATAAGTGATCATTACTGATAGTTATTGCTAATAATCATATCATGGTGATATTTTAATAATTTTTCGATCAATTTTCGTTTATCATTACCCCTTGCACATTTGCATACTGAAGAGAGAACTCTTGGCATGTATTCGAAACACTTTCGCAAAATAATTCAAATTAGCATGACAATGGCGTTAGATACCATTTTATTTTCCATCACAGCTCATAAATTTTTATTCAGATTTCTCAGCATTGCTCATCTTGCATTTATTTCATTGACATTAATATTCCTTCTCGAATGATAGCATACTGATCCGAGGATTTTTGTTAGACGTTTTTTGCCATAATCAATCTTTGCTTGTAAGAAATTCATTTAATGATTTGATCCAATATAAGATTATAATGATTATATAAACGTATTTGCTCTTTTTGTCGCTGTATCATTGTAATACATTCTTAATTTACTTGCACTACATTTTTCACGCTGTTTCCGACTCTCATTTAAGTCTGAATCGAATTTTCGAATTCTTACTACTATTAAGTGTAATTATTCACTAAGCTTAGATGTAATCTCCACTCATTACATTACTTGAAGTCGTAAAGCACTTCTGATTACTTTACTAAAATTTGCCCAAATGCTTTCTCTCTGACGCAAATTGGGAGCAGCAGCTGACATACGCACACACACTACACACACTCGCTCACATACGCACACAACTCACGTACACATACAGGCATGCAGCACACCTCTGTGTAGAAACTCCTTTAATTTTCTCTATTTCAAAGTTTTCCATCATTCATCTCAGCAATAACCATCCCAACACTCTCCTTTTCATCTCACTATTATTATTATCACTGTTATTATTATCAGCACGGTATCGACTGTTTAAGCTCAATTATTGTCGCAATAATGCTAACAATGTTATTTAAAGTTATCATCATTATTATCATCATTGCTATGCGCAATATTATCATTATTCGTTGCAAATAGTTGTCACAAAAAATTCGAAGTAGCAATCTATTATTTCTATCTAGAAAATAATTTTTCCACTATCGTCATCGTTATTTATCAATATCATATTGTTATCATCATCATCATCTTAATCAGCGTTCAATTTTGTTGCCATTCGTTTCCTGTCTCCGTCCGTTCCCATTGTTTTCCCAGTACTTAGCACTATTATCTCTCCAGTTATTTGCTGGACAAAGTTTGATAGTTTTTAAATTACAGTCATCATATTTCAATCTTGAGCTATAATCAGCACTATGTCTAACAAAAAATAGTCAATTATTTCTTTTGTATTTCATTACCGATCCGATCGGTCAGTTTCCAAGTGCTCATTTTTTTGACTTCTTTTCTAACAAATCAACTGAATCATTTTAGGTTACTCTTATTAATTACCTAGTAACTAATATTTGTGCTTTTTATGCTGAACGATTGCTTAGATCAAATCAGATCATATCTAACTGAACAGTTATTCTTGTCATCAAATAGCCATTTTATCTTTACAAGAATTTGTCATATTGCTTTCTGTACTATTATCATAATAATATTCACTGTTGGAGTTATTTTTACGAAAGAAAACTTCCTTCTATCCGTCTTTTGCTTAATTTTTTGCTTATATCTATTTAAACATTTCATTCTGTAACAAAGAACCAAAGTTTAGACTAAATTCATTGCAGAATTCGGCTCTCCTATGTTTATAAATCATTTTAAAAGTCTGTTGTTTTGATTTTTGCTGTCAATATTATCAACTCGTTGCAGTGTCGTTATTATTAATATTAAAAAGTAATAATAATATTATTATTAGTATTACATTTATTTATATGATGTCAATAACTATATGTAATGCTATTAATTTCTAGCAGTTAAGCAGTAAAATTTTTTCATTACCATAAGAATTTTTATTTCCTTATCTTCTATATTAAGAGTACATTAACATTTATTGACATTATTGTTACTGGTTACTGCCGTTGTTGTTGTTGTTATAGTCAACATAATTTGACTACTCACAGAACTGATAAGTACTTACAATTACTGAATTATCAATCAGTTAGGCGATTATCAGTGTTAAAAAGGACGATAATTATTCATTTCATTGAGAAGTAACATCGTTAATACTATTTATTACTTTATTAAGGCGCTGCTGTTTCTGTGATAGAAATGGAAAATGCGTAAAATATTCTTCTCCCTGTAATTCCAATTCTATAATGAATTCCAATTCTAAATCTACATTTATTTCTAATCATTTCGCTGATAAATATTGGCTCACTTCAATGATATTTTTCAAAAAACTGCAATTTAATTAGTGCATCAAACAAAATTGTTTCATTTATAATATATTTTGAAGGGAAAAATTACATCGAAATTGATATTGACAAAAAAAATGTTAACATCTTATACAGAATCAACTTCACCTTCAACTAGTATTGCAAGTGAACTACCAAATGATAGACTAACCACGGATTATTTGGTAAAAATGAATCTAAACAATGAACCATCAAATTCAACACCACATTTCGAATCACACTCTGCTCCGTCACTTTCTACACAAAGTGTTGAACTGCACTTAGTCTCTTCTGTTTCTCCAGATAGCAGAAAGTTACATTCAGCTCCCTTACTTGCAGCGCCAAATCCTGACTCACACGCAAAGTTCACGCAAAATACCGACTTACATCCAGCTTCCTCACCTTCACATCATCTTAACTCGCATTCTACGAATATCAAGATTCCAGAACCACAAAGATGTGACAAAATATTAAACTTGGATCAACATATTGCAATTTCAAAATCTGCGTCATACAATGATAAGCTTGCAGAATGTGAAACTCTTAAAAATGATCAAAAGTTTGGCAGTGATAGTAAAAAAATCGAAAAATTTGCAGGGAATATGAATGGGAGTATTAATGAAAGTTTTTCGACGCCTGTGCAGACAAATAAAATAGAAAAAACGTGTGAACTGAAGAAACACAGCACTGGAAATTTTGTTATTACAGAGTCTTTGCCAGTAGTTGTATCAGCTAGCAGGATGGAAAATCAAATTCTCTTAGATGATCGTTCAAGTGAAGATGAGAAAATGATTCCAGCAAGTAGTTCCGTTGTGTGGCACATGAAAATAAATTCAAAGGAAGATCAGAAGTCACTTCAAAGTTTCGGATTTCTGGAAGAAGAAGAATCCTCAGGAGAAAATTTTCATGGCAGAAAACGCAGTTCTGATAATTTAGTGAAAATTGAAGCGAATTTCTCGTTGAATAAGTTTTCATCGAACTGCAGTGCTGATATCAATTACATGTTGAAAAGTAACACTTTCGAAAGAGCAAGTTTCAAAACATCAGTACATCCCAGAGATTCCAATAATATATCACCTGATTGTTTGATATTCCCTGGTAATTGGGGTTTTCGAAAGAAGTCTATAAGTCCTGACCGGGCATTGTCGGAAAGTCCTCTTGGAGGTACTGATAGCTGGAAAGGTGTTACGATTAATATGAATCTTCCATTTGGAAACAATACTGATACTGTACGGTCTGTTTACAAAACGACACTTCGAAATGACCAAACAAAAATTATTTATAATAACAGAACGCTGAGTGAGTTAATGCTTGAATAGATAGACAACTTGAAAATATTAGATTAAAAGTTTTGTATTTTTAATTTCTTTATTTGCATTCCAATTACAGATTTATCAAATTTTACTAGTTGGCAAAACTATTGATACTATAAGGTCAAACTAGTGATTTATAATCGTTACTACAAATAATTAATGATTGTTGATATCACGAGATTCATTACTGACAGAGCCTTAGATATCATACAGCGTGATAATATTTATCATCTCAAATAAAATGAGACCATTTTCAGCCACTAATAAAAAAAGTACATAATTTGAGTCAGAAAAATATTAGCGATGATAATATAGGAAACAACTATATTATTTTAATAAATATGTGTGTTTCGGTGGTTTTTTGAATGATAGTTACTGTCCAGATCATCTTGACATCTATTAGTGAAATTCACACCACCAACAATTACGATTAAAAGTATTTTCGAGACTAAATGCTTGACAAAAATTTTTTTATCACTTTTTATTCTTCAACTATTTTTAGATTTTTTCACTTAATACTTTACTTTGAAAAAACAATACGAATTTTATATTTTTTAATTTTTAAGTTCAACTGAGATTCTTAAATTCCATTTATTATCAATGTGAAAGATTCTAATTGTATCTTAAGAGGTGTACCCTAGGAAGAATTAAGAAGTAACAAACAGTAAAAAAAATGTCAGAATAATCAAAAAATGTGAATGGTCATTTATTCCAAGTCGAAGGTTACTCACTTATTTAGCTTATTGCAGAACCTGGAGAAGTAATTCATCATCATCCGTTATTTGTGAAGGATACATCTAAATACTGGTACAAACCAACAATATCGAGGGAGGAAGGTCAGCTTACAACTTGAAACAATTTTGAATTTCGTGTTGTGTTTAATCTGAAATTATTCTCGCAAAGATTTCGCCAAGTATTAGCTACTATAATTTTCAAAAGTAAATTAAAAATTTTTAGCCATAAATATGTTGCGAGACAAGCCACCTGGCACGTTTGTGGTACGTGACAGTAACAGTTTTCCGGGAGCATTTGGTTTAGCCTTGAAAGTAGTAACACCGCCACCTGGCGTACATCCCGGTGAATTTTTGCATTAAGTTGAAAACTGCAAAAACTTAGGAAAAAACATGCAAAAATACTAAATAACGTTTTATAAACGCAACATTAGCGTTTTCGACTTAATATAATTTTTCTCATTTCTGATTTTTAGAATTATTGATAATAAATTATTCTCTTTAATGATAAATTGCAGTTAATTCTTGATTTAAAAGTTTTTCAGTTTAAACTCTCAACTATTCGATGTCTTAATCAAAATACTGACCTGTCTTTCAGAGAACTTTGTTATGGCATACCTTATGCAACTTTTTGTTTGATATATGCATTGTTTAAGCGTTCAGTTCTTTTCAAATATTCTCAATCTAAACATATTACTTCCACTTATCGTTTGCATTCACACTGAGCTATTTTTTTCACATTTGATACTTGATATTTTCTGCTGGTTTAAAGTAAATCTATTACATGTAATTTTCTCTGTACTGTCAATTTTCTGTATCGAACAGTAATTATAAATAAAATGAGAGAGGTCTTGATCAATCAATATTTTAAGATAAACTGAGAGTTTCAGGTGATGGTACCGAATTGGTGCGTCATTTCTTGATCGAGCCATCTCCAAAAGGTGTAAAGTTGAAAGGTTGCAATAATGAGCCTATATTTGGTACCCTATCAGCACTTGTTTATCAACATTCAATCACACCACTTGCACTACCAACCAGGTTACTGTTACCGGATTACGATCCAGCCAGCACACCGGAACATATCTCAGCTGCGCAAGCGCTTCTGCAACAAGGGGCCGGTACAATTTTATCATTCTTCTTTAAAATACGTGATTCACATCATTTCATAGACTGTTATTGAAAGTATTTCTTTGAGTAAGTTTTATGCCACAAAACACATAAATTAACCTACTGAAGAATTATTAAATGTTTAATGTAATTTTAAGAATTGTTGGTAACTGATTATTACTCATACAAAACATTCTTGTCAATATTTGGAAAATTCTAAATAAAAATGAAAGACTTGTCAAAATTAAGTTTATGTGCATTTTCATGTGGTAATTTTAAAGAAAGTAATGAAAGTTCTGTTTCTAAATAGATGAAAAATCAGTATAACGAAAGTTAATTTGATTTCTTTCAAGTTGATGCTTGAAAATGCTTTTTAAATTACGAAAAGTTGCAGCATGTAATGTATCATACATCGTTTCACTGGATACGGAATCGTTGACCGGTCCCGAAGCTATCCGACGATGTGTAGATGAAGCATTTCGATTGCTCAAGCAGAAATTGTTGCAGCCAGTTTCGGTGCACTTCAAGGTAAATGTTACTTTGAAACTAAGTGAAAAGTTATATGTTTAGTGAAAGCTGCAAGAGGCTTAATATGACTTTTTTCTAACTTTCTCAAGTTATTTCACTGCCGCCAATGCCATTTGAAAATTAACCTGAATGAATCTTCTCGTAATCAATCGCTGCGGAATTCTTCCAAATTATTAATCTAAAATAAATCTTAAAAATCATCATTTCCGATTATTGTTTGTGCTACTGATATTTTGAATATTTGTACTGCTATTTTAGGTATCATCGCAAGGAGTGACCATAACAGATAACACTAGGCAACTTTTCTTTAGAAGGCACTATCCTGTACAGTCGGTTACACATGCTGGTTTGGATCCTTCTGATCGAAGGTTATATTTGCTGTTGTTTAAAACTCGAAAGTTAAGGCTGATAATTGGTTAACTATTGTACCTTATATTTACATCATTTGGATAAATAGTGGAAGCTTGATTTCTTTTAATTACTATAAAAAGACTGTATTTGGTATTTTCCAATGAATGTTTCATAGTTTTTTCGTCAAAGTCATATTAACCTTTTTGTGTGCCTCTAAAATGCAATTACATATAAATGTGTTGATGAATATTTTCTGATTCTTTTGCAAAATTTCGATTAGCTTTCAATCTATCAGTTGCAGATGGGATAATACGAATCTGGAAGGTAATATTACAAAATTTGTGAAAAGTGCTCGAATGTTTGGATTTGTTGCTCGGAAAATCGGCTCAAGGACTGATAACGCATGTCATATCTTTGCTGAGTTAGAACCTGAACAGCCCGCTACTGCAGTTGTGAACTTTATCACAAAAGTAATGATGGGACGTAGATAAGATTTTCTCCTACTCCTACATACTATATATTTTAATTAATTATAAACTTAATAATTGGTTTTTATGATTGTTTTCATGAAACTAGTCGTATAGGATCATATATTTAAGATTTGGAAGATTGAAACTGAAATTATGACAAAATTCGAAGCGAAAATTCATCATTAAAATATTTTGGTGACAAGCTTGTGAACTTTCAACTTTCATCTCAAACAGTGTTCATTCCAGCTGTACATCATTTCTGAAAACTGAAACTTTACCAACTCTTCTAAATTTCTTTTTCACTCTTCAAATCTTGTGCTACTTAATGATTCTAGTTTTGATATTCAAGTTTGTAAGACTTTTCCAAATGTTTTCCAAATGTATATTTTTTCCTGGTGATTTCTTATAATCATGACTTATCTAAAGCGTAAATTAAGCTATTTAAACTTAAAATATCGTGTGACAAGTCGTTATTGACGCTTAATTAATTGAAATTTGCAAAGATATAAATCATATTGAGATTAATAACTGAAAAGTCACGGGATATTTTAAGTTTGATAATAATTTCAAACTTTTATTAAAATTTTATCGCTTCACAATTTATCTTCCATCGGTGAAAGCATCTACTCTAATTATTTTCAAAGAATTTGCTACAAAATTAGAAATTATTTGGTATTTTCTAATAATAATAATAATAATACGACAAAAACGCCTTCATCTAATTGTGTCTTCTAAACTTTCTTCTCTCTCTATTCATTATTTGTTCTTGCTATCAGTCGGTTCAACTGTTTTAATAACCTTTTCTTCTCATGGAAAAACTCGATTACTTTGAGCCATAATTTATTATCACTATTGTGAGTACGATCGAGACTGTGATTATAATTATCATCGTTAAACGTGCGGTATAAATAATTGGATTATTTTTTCTCATACAACAATAACCTTCTGTACTCAGTTTTGATTTGTATCAGTACTCAAATAAATATATCCAACAGATTAGGTAATTGAGGACAATTTATATGACCGAAATAGAAACATATTATTTTAATTCGTTTCACACTTGTTATCAAAGTATACTGTTTGCATTGAGATTCGTAGTAGTAAATTTCAGAGATTTATTTTTGTCTTATAGCGAGATACAAGTTAGAAATACACAAGTAGCAACGGAAACAATTAATAACCTTCGGACGCCATAAAAAGTTTTACAAACAATACAGACGTGTGAAAGAGCTGTACATGCAGTATAGCATAAACAGTTCGCAAAATAAAAATTTTCTGAACTTAGTGAAAGAAAATAAAAAATGGATTCATGAGCATTTTTTGAATATACTTCAGAGTTGTTGGGAACTTATACCACTTACTGCTGTGTTTAGAGTGCTTCAAATTTGATAAGTGTAGTCATACAAAAAATTTGCTCAAAATTTTGTGCACTTCCCAATGAATGCTTTTTGGCATTTGAAACTAAATCACTTTGATAAATCAAAATTAACGATATGCAGAAGGTATTCAAAAGTTCAGACTGAAACTAAAACTTGACTAATTCTAGATGTGATACTTTGTTACGTGTAATTGGTTTTGATTTGACAATTAGAATATTTTTTGAACTTTTGAAAAAAAGATGCCTGAAAAATAAGCCACAGATTCTTGTCCTTATTACAGTACTGAAATTTATTATTATTATTATTTATTGTAATATACATATGTATATATATCTCCTATCAATTATTTGATAAAGAGAAAGGGAATCAATCGCACTGCAGATCTCAAAGATTGTTTCTTTGCTCAATTACAGCTTATGTCTTAAATTCGTTATATCTTCAGAATTTTCTATTTCTGATTTGAATTAAGCAAATAACGCGAGGAAGCTGTCATAGTAATGTATAAAAAATAATTTAATTCCTTAATCTTTCTGCAACCTATCCATCTATTTGGGCTGATTAGAAATTACCTCTCGAGTAATAAAATGATTAACAGAAACTTTCTAATAGAACGAAACAAAAACGGACTCTCGAAACAATAACTGCATAATTTTTAGTAATAGAAGCAAATCACATCGATCACTGTTTATTGTGATTCTGCCAAACACTATGGTTTCCTCAGCGCATATCACTGTAAATTAATAACCACTGGCTATGATATCGATGATATTCAGCTAAAACAGTTACAATAAAAACATCTAATCACTATTATTAAAATAAAAATAAAATCAAGTTTTAATATAAAAATAATAAAGATAGTCAAATAAAGCGATGAAAAATTTATGCACTTATTATGATTAAAGACAAATCCACCAGTAAGTGGAGTCAGCGTTGCCATGACGATTTATTTTCTGGTACCTTCATAACTTTTATATTTATAATTCCGGGCCAAGGTTCACATTGATACGTGATCAAGTAAAACTTTAATCCGCTTTATTGAATTCTTCCTAGCCTATAAATTATTTAATTGTCTGGTGAATGTATGGGAAATTGCGTTGGTGGTTTTAAAAAACATACTAGAAAGTTGCAGCACAGGAAAAAAAATAGGTAAATATTTCATTTCAAATTTTTATTGTGCTGTCATCAAATAACAATTTGCGATATCAAAGTATACGAAAGCTAACTGATTTCTTTCTGCAAAATTTCTTTCAAGATTTATGGCTCAAAATTTATAATTAGAATTTATAAAAAATGCTTGTATGGTGAGATGAATTCAGGAATATAAGAATCTGTCTTTTGGGTTTGGATGATGCAGGGAAATCAACCGTCATACGTGCTTTGGCTTCGGGTAACTAGAAATTTTCATATAACAGATTTTACACGAAATTATTTTTAAAGTAATGAGTATTGCCAGGCAGCACTGTGTAAATAAACTGCATTCATTTAACCAACCTTAATATTGAAAAAGTAAATTTCAAGTACTAACTTAAATATCTTTTTAAATAAAATGCAGAAAATGAAGATATGATTCTTTTAGAAAATACAGCTGATGTTTCACCCACAAAAGGCTTTACACTTCAGGAATTTAAGTATCGAAAAGCTGAAATTATTGCGTACGATTTAGGTGGCGATGAACGCATTCGTTCCATCTGGACGAATTATTATCCCGAGGTTTTGTCTAGATATTATAATGTGTAATGTGCTGTTAACTAGACACTGAGAACACAGATTATCAAATCTTCCGTGCCATGCAGTTACTTCTTGTCAGGTGCTAGCAGTTTAACATTAGAATGCGACAAAAGTTCATGAAAATCTTGGTAGATAGAACTTTACTCATTGCACACTTAAGAAATTAACTTCTTGAGCTTCAATTAAAGCAAACTGAAAATACTACTTCCAAAATAAACTAATGAATTCAGGTTTTTGGTGTAATTTATGTAGTAGATGGAAGCAAACAAAGCCGCCTTCAAGAAAGTGGGGAAGTGCTAGCTCATGTGCTCAGTCATGAAGATCTGCGTAACAAGCCACTTCTGGTAATTTTGAACAAAACGGACCGAGAAGGATGCATTGATGAAATACAACTTAGCGACCGTTTAAATTTGCACAATTTGGCAAATTTATATCAAACTGAAATTCGAGTGGTGAAGTTAATTTCAGTCATTTTCAGTCATCTTTGCGAACGGTAGTTCCCAACTTTCATAAATTAAGAGTAAAGTGATAGGTTTTTAAATTTCTAAGATTGATTCTGTTGTTTTGCAAACAAGATTGAAACAACAACTTGTATTCAGGGCAATCTTCATTAGAAAACTTTTTTGTTTTTAGAACTGAAACTCGTATCTAGAAATATTAAATTAATTACTTTGCATCTGCATGAAATGGGTAAATTATAAATACTTGCAATCATATCATTCTCAGAGCTAAGCTGAAATGAGTTAAGATACATATCTTGGTAATATGCAATTCTAAATTTGAAATTCAAGTTCAGATTTTTTAACTTAACTTATCAGGATTTAATCTCCCAAAAATGAAAAAACTTTTGCAATGTGCCTTCTCATCTAAACTCATTTAAATCTCAAGGAAATTTGCCAGTCGAACGCAGGTACAGGTTCTCTCATGGATCCAGCACTAAAAGATGGGTTTGAATGGTTGCTTGAGAGAATTTATGATAATTATGACCAACTCGAGAAAGGTGTCAAGGAAGCATTACAAAGACTAAAGTGTTGTCAACAGCTACAACAAATGAGGCGACAACACCAGCTAGCAGCTACTGCAAGCAGGTGCAGTGGAAATTCATACTCAGTCATGCTATTACCATTTATTTGTCATTTTATCACTAGAGATTATTTTCGCTGTTGTTATTACGCGGTAATTTGCTTTAAGTAAATTATTATCTGCCCATTTGATATGTTGGGTTTTGATTTAATGCGAACTATTTCAATACTTATTTTGAAGAAACTTGCTTTGTCTCACTCACTTTATGAGATTTATTCTCAGGTGAAAAGATGTTAATATCTCACTTTAAAAAAGAAATGCTGCTTTCTATATCACGAAGTATGTTTCAGTTCAACTATTTCCGATGACAGATCAAGTGATACAGGCATTGCTGCTGAAAGTGCTGAAGAACCTACTGCTGAAATCGCAGTTGCTAGAGGTGCGGAAGCGCATTGTAATGAATCTGAAACCAATTATATGAGTAAGGAAAATACTCCAAATGAAACTGGAAAATTGCCTAAAGTTTGTTTTTCTCAAATATTCATGCTTCTTTATATCATCGTAAAACACAATACTGTTGTTCTTTCCAGCCAGAAAATTACTTTACTCCCTGTTATATTTACAATGAATTCGTAAAAAGACTGATGCAACTTGTTTGTAGCTTTCAAGGAATGCAATCTGCCCTTATGATCAGTCCCCCGGGACATCAATAAATCGGCAACCTGAGATGGAGTACCCCAAATTATTCGAAGTAAAACCCTTGTCAGCGTCTCAAGTACAGCAGGATCCCGGACAGTCGAGTAAAACAATTTGCAAATGTAAGATATGCACTTCATTACAATCAAATAATCTCAAGATGAAAATATAACACTGAGCTCACGACCCTCATGTATTTTACCAGATACATTTCATACACACAAAATTAACCCATCTCCCGCGGTTCCAGACATACAATTGGCGACAAAGTCTGCTGTTGCTCAAATCATACCCTTGTCCGTGTTACCCAGACTTGAGAAGGTTAAAGAGTCAACTCCAGGGACCGAAACAATATAAAACTCCAGAACACCCACAATTCAGTACCCATTAACTGAAATAATGAAATACTACGTATTCCTTAAATAAACGACAATACAACTGTCTACACCGTAAGTTTCGTGCAAATAAGGCTCAAATACTGCAAACGCAGCAATTAAATATAATAGCTTTATTAGCAAAACAACAACAAGTACGATCACAGAGGTTCTGATATCAATCACTTAATCAAAAAGACCGAAACCCATATCATCATCTGATTCTTCTTTAGGTTCCTCTTTTTTCTTGTCCTCCTTCTCATTTGATTCAGCAAGTGTTGATTCCGTGGCTGCCGCAGCTTGAGCTGCTGGAGCGACACCACCACCACCAACATTACAACTGATATTAGTTATTAATGACTGAAAAACATCCAGTGAATTGAAATAATCTAGAGAACCAGAGTGTGCAAAGAACAGAAATTAAGGTAAAATAGCAATAACAACTACGCAACCGACCTTTACATCAACTCCATCAAGAGCCTTAGCAAACAACCCCGGCCAATATGGTTCTACTTCAACACCAGCCGCTTTCAGAATAGTTGATATTTTATCTCCAGTAATTGCAACATCATCATCTTGCAGGATGAGCGCTGCATAAACACAAGCCAATTCCTGACTTGACATTATTCCAACAATTTCTAAGTGCACGTCGCTACCAAGCCTTAGCTCCAATTGAGAACAATGCACTTTTGTCTGCAACTACTTTGACATTACAAATAAATGCAACATGAACATAAAGCTAACATACCTGTAAATGCATTTGCATTCAAGGCAGAACTAGTTTTGCCAGAAAAGTCCCCACACCATACTTAGTAAAATGAAACTCAACATTGTACCCTCCATTCATCTGCCATTGAGGAATCAAATTATAGGACTACTTCAATTAATGTTACCCATAAATTACGTTTTATATCTAACCTTCTTACTTCAAGCAATAAAATTTGATCCCATTTTTTCAGTGCATCAGGAGCAAAAAATCAGACAAAAAATCAAAATATACATTAGCGTCGGATAAACGACTTCAACAATCTATACAAGTCACATTTCTCATTTTTATTGAAAAATAACAATAGATATATAAAACAATACAACTTTCAAGCAACCAATACACATGCTCCTCCTACTGCCTTGATTTTCCGTTCTGCTTCATGAGAGAAAAACTTTGCTTTCACTATTACAGGTTGCTTAGGTAGTAAACCCTTGCCAAGTACTTTGAAATAACCAGCTCGAACAACATCAATTACTGGGGCTTTATCCTTCCTATCAGAGAAACTTTTACGCAGATTCTCAGGTACAAGTGACCATATCTTGTCAATGTTTACTGTTGGACAGTACAACCGATTACGCCTCAAGTGGAAATTGCGCATACCAACCTAAAGCTTTAAGATGAAGTGTATTAAGAGAAACTGAAGAAAAATAAATTCAAACTCTATTCATCCACAAAAATGATCAATATAATTGAAATACAATCTCTACACATACTTTAAATGCAAACGGTGAGATTTCTGCACACCTATTTACCCCAGAATTTGATTCTTGAACTATATACACATGCATATATAATGAAGTTACCATATAAACCTTCCAATTATAAAATTTTCAACTCAATCTAATTTTAATTAGTTAATAATTGCAAATCATTGTAATTTAATACTACCATCAGTAAGTGTTGCATACTAATAAAAACTAGTCAAGGCAAAAGAAACTCGTACGGCATGAAACTAAAAGAATTTTCCTCATAAACAATAGTCATTAAAACGAGAAGTTACCTTTCCAAAGTAACCCGGATGGTACTTGTCAAAATTTATACGATGGTGATGTTGTCCACCAGCGTTACCACGACCACCTGGATGCTTTCGATGCTTTCCAATGCGCCCATGTCCGTGAGATACGTGTCCTCTTAGCTTTCTTGTTTTCTTTTTTGATGTAGCCATGCTAATAGTAAACTGAAAAGATAGCTGCATACATAACTACACTAATCAATGAGAGAGAAGAAAATAACAGGATGATCCATATCCAGAGCTACATATGTCTCTCAAGGAAACAAGTAAACCACAAAAACTGTATCGACATTTCGCGTATACAACACCAGATGTCTTCTACTCTTGTACCAACATAAAGCTGCTTTAACACCACGTTAAAGCAAAGACAACTTGCCTCATCCTACTATATGAATACGAAACCTTGCAGACTACGATGGTCTATTTAACCCAAAAAATCCAGTCCGTCTCAACGTTGCAAACCGCCATCATGAAAATTAAATCCCAGAACATTATATCAAATTTAGTATATGCCAAGTATAATCCTTTTTCACCTTTTTGTGTTATTCTCGAGTATGATACACGCGATTTACGTCGGAAAAGACTTGTTCAACCAGTGTGGGGAATGTGACGAAAAGTGCTTTGTTTTTTCTGTTGCCGTATTTAAATATGAGATTCTCAATGTGTTACTACCTCACTAAGCTATTTTTGAGGCACAAAGGACTAAACTTTTCATATGTAACCCTAAGCGAAAGATTCCAGCGATGTAAGTAAGAAACACTCTTGGGTTCACGGCTTTTATTCTCTACCACACTTTGTGAAATTTTTTCCGAACATTTTGAAGTAATGGACGTATTTATTTGATTGAAAAACTTTCGATAAAGTTATTCGAAGAAACTGAGTTCTTTTCAGTGTAGTTCACGTTTCAATATAAACGTTGTGAGCTCTTGTGTAAATTCTATTTCTTCTGTATTTAAAATCAAAATTTAAAGCATCAAAAGTTATATAAACTTTCTCCCTAAATAATGATAAAAAGTGATGCTTTGAAAAGAAGGTCAAAGGTTCATTTTCGCTGGTCACAGGACACTGGATTAGTGTTGATTCTTTTGATTATTTCATTTGAATTGGGCATTCCAAGTTTTTTGCAGTCATTTGAGAATTTGTAATTTCCTCTTGTTGGTCAGCAAAGGGTTTAAGTACTGATGATATCATAATATTCTGACATTTCCAATAAATATTATTTTTTAGGTCTGTTAGAAAGGAATGACCGCAGTGAGTGAGAAATTAATGAAAAGACTGATTCAGCTCGGTGCTACCATGGCTATTGGCGCGGGAGTGGTTTCTAAGGCTCTCTACAATGGTTTCTTCAATTATATTTTTTTATTATTCATGGAATTTACATAAAAAAATTCAGTTAGATCTGAAATTAGAATTTACCTTTTGCACATATTCTAAAACTTGAATTGTTTTTGTTTTTTTTTAATATACGAGTTCAAGCAGTACTAATGAAATTGCTAAGACTAGCATAGGATCTAAAGGTTAAGAACTGACTTTCATTGCTGGTAAATTGTAAAAGTTATTCTGATCTTCTTTATAGGTTGTAGAGCTAATATTAGCAATGTGTAGTCAATTAAAATTTTTTGAAAAGTATAATATATTAGTGCCTTCAAGTTCAAAAATATGGAACTAAAACTTTGCCTTATCAGATGCAGCTCAGTTTTACTAAATTACCGATATTGATATGTTTCTTGTAGATCTTAAGATTGAAGATGCTGAAGAAATCAGATAGTTCACTTATTTTGTTTTTTACAGTTGATGGTGGGCAAAGAGCAGTGATTTTCGATCGGTTTACTGGAGTAAAGCAAAATGTGATTGGAGAAGGAACGCATATGTTAATTCCAGGGATTCAAAAACCAATTATTTTTGATATTAGATCAACCCCACGAGTTGTATCGACGATTACGGGAAGTAAAGGTAAAGGTTTATTTATTTCATGTAGATGAATTGCTTATGGAAATGGTACAAATTAAATGGTTAATTCCTTGCTTTGATTGTTTCGAAAAGTTATACATTCATTTCAGATCTGCAAAATGTGCAGATAACATTAAGGATTTTACACCGACCTGAACCAAGTAAATTACCTAATATATATTTGAACATTGGACGTGACTATGCAGAAAGAGTGCTACCTTCAATTACGAATGAAGTTTTGAAAGCTGTTGTTGTAAGGAATCATTTTTCTTCTACATAGCTATTTTTTCAGTTTGTGTTTGTTAATAATTTAAAAAAGCGCATCATGTTATCCTACATATTTTACCTAGATTCTAATATTCTGAAGTCGGTAGTACTTAGTTTTAATTTATTGTTTTTAATCAATGCAATTATATTCTTAATATAGTTGTATATTTTAGGCTCAGTTTGATGCACATGAAATGATTACCCAAAGAGAAAGTGTCAGTCATAGAGTTTCACTGGAGCTGTCAGAAAGAGCTGAGCAGTTTGGCATCTTATTAGATGATATTGCTATTGTAAGCTTTAAATCACTTAACAATCTTTACTTCTACCTCCTTTATTGTAAAATCTTGAGATGGGAGTTTATATTGTAGTAGTTTCTTTGAAAACTCTCACTGACAATGTAAATTTATGTGTTTTTTTCCTAAAATATATGCATATTAAGAATAAGTAGGAGACTAATTTTTGGCAATTTTTTATTGAAAGTTCAATACATTCGAGTGAATTATGAAGTTCAAATGATTTTGCATTTAATAATCTTTATTTTTACTTCTTTATTGTAAAATCTTAAGACTCATTTGTCATTCGGACGTGAGTTCACGGAAGCCGTGGAAATGAAGCAAGTTGCTCAGCAGGAAGCTGAAAAAGCTCGTTATCTTGTTGAAACAGCTGAACAGATGAAGGTTGCAGCTATAACAACTGCAGAAGGTGATGCTCAGGCTGCCAAACTTTTAGCTCAGGTAAGAAACCAGTTTGAATTTTGCTTACTAGTAATTCATTGGCAGACGGTTATGGTGAATTAATCTGCTTGTTTATTTGCAGATTTATCGAGTTCTAAGTTCATTTTAGTTAGCTTCTATTAAAATCTTACACTTTTCATCATAGAAAATCATATCCAGGATAACTTGCAATCATATCTGATATATGTTATGTTTTATGAGGCTTCAAAACAAAACATTACGAAATGCTAATGTTATAAATAAACTTACTTCAGGCATTCAGAGAAGCTGGGGATGGCTTGATCGAGTTAAGAAAAATAGAAGCTGCTGAAGAAATAGCTGAAAGGATGGCTAAATCTCGAAATGTTGTGTATTTGCCAAATAATCAGAATACATTATTTAGTTTGCCTTCAGTATAAAAAACTGATTTTTTTCAAGTGCTGTTGGTTTTAAGACCATTTAATTTTACACAAGTTGTGTATTGCGTTAGTATTTTGTTCATCATTTTTTACTTGTGTCGCTACTACAATTTTCAGTAGTTAATTTTGTGGTACTATCAATTTGTTATGATACTGTTTTAATGATTATAAAATATAAAATCGTGTTAGTACTTCTGATGTAGTTGAAGCAGTTAATTAGCTGTTCTTTAATATGTTTCATTCATCACTTCTATTGATTGACAAATCTAAAGTCGTTATTAGAGTGTTCATCTCTGAACTCAAGATTTTTTCAGCATGTTTTCTCAAAATGTACTTAATACCTTGAATTTTCAGGAAGTCTTTAAAAAAATCCTATAATTTGTTTTATAAATAGTATATCAGGCATCAACAATGCCTCTGAGTTGTCGGTTTTATGCCAATCAATTTCCGGATGTTGAAGATACAGTTATGGTAAATATCCGAGAAATCGGCGAAATGGGTGCATATGTATCACTGCTAGAATATAAGAATATTGGTACGTCTCTTTTGATTTAAATATGATTAGGGAATATATAGGGTTGGTTTGTTGAAGCAGTTCCATGATTTGTAGTTAATGTAGTACAGTGTCTCCATATTAACATTTTTCTGGAAATTACTAATATTGTTGCAGAAGGCATGATATTATTGTCTGAACTTTCAAGAAGACGCATTCGTTCTGTCAATAAACTAATTCGTGTCGGTCGTAATGAATGTGTTGTTGTTATACGTGTTGATAAGGAGAAGGGTTATATAGATTTGTCAAAGAGACGAGTTTATTCGAAGGATTCCATACAGTGTGAAGAACGGTTTGCAAAAGCTAAAGCAGTAAATAGGTATTCATTAAAATCGGTCAGATTACTAGTAGGTTATTGGAAAAGAATGAAATTTATCTGCAGTTTATCAGTCAAAAGTCGTTCAATATACATTAGCAAGGTGATTACATGACAATTCATACCTATTGGTAACACATGATTTTTACTGAATAAAGAAATTGCTTCACTTGTGAATAATTCATGTTCTTTAGAACACATATTTTACAGTGACTGAAATCTCACTGCTAGAATTTAAATGTTGTAAGAGATTTTTCAATACAATTTCAGCATTCTTCGACATGTTGCTGATCAGTTGGGTTATGATTCGGAAGAGCAGTTAGAAGAGCTCTATGATAAGACCGCATGGTACTTTGATCGGAAACTGAAAAAGAAAGCAGCTGCCTTCGACATTTTTAAGAAAGCTCTCAGTGAGCCAACTGCTCTAGATGAGTGCGATATATCTCCTGAAATTCGTCAAAAACTTTTGATCGATATTAAGTGGGTTTTGTTGCTAGACTTTTTTTCCTTTTCAGCCATAATGAGGATAGATCAGACAAAAACAAATATTGAGTGGTGTTCTAATGCAGTATATTTATGTTTGTAGATTTATTCTTTCATCATACAGACTCTGATCGGACATTAAAGAAAGATGGCGAAAGACAGTCCAAAAATTCGTATTAATTGCTTTATTTTAGAAAAAGATTAACACCACAAGCTGTGAAAATTCGAGCTGACATTGAAGTTTCTTGTTTTGCTTATGATGGCATAGATGCTGTAAAAGATGCTCTAATCAAAGGGCAGAAGTGTTCAACTCCTGATATGCCCATAAAAGTAAAAAAGCAGATGAATTTTTGACACTTTATCAACTAGTAATTCAAGCTTGAAAAGATCAAGAATTATGTTTTAATAATTTAGTAGTGGATTGTAATTATTTTTAGATTAATTTGATAGCTGCTCCGCTTTTTGTCGTTACAACTCAAACTATGGAGAGAAGTGAAGGCTTGGAAGCGGTTAATAGAGCTCTCGATCTAATTAAAAATACGATTGAATCATATCAGGGAACTTTCAAAATTGTGATGGCGGTAATTTTCTTGATTTGACGTCTCTATTTACTAACAATTGGTTGAAATTAGATAGGATTAAAAATTAGTGTAAACAGTAATAATTGATGTGAATAAGTTTAATTCGATCTAATTTGACCGGCAAAAGATGTTTTTACTGAAGTGAAACTTTGTATGCGAGAAACACTTGTTATTAGATGAATTTTTCATCTTAATATTCAATTTTGCAGCCAAAAGTGGTGACAGATTTGGATGAAGAAGAAATGAGGAAGAAACTTGAGATGGTAGAAGTATATGATGAAAGTGTGAGTGATGATGGAGGTAGTGATGACGAAGGTTTGGTGGCACCCAAAGGATTAGATCAGCAGGCAGACGCTGAAGAAGAAGTGCGAAAAAGAAGGGCCGATATTAGGTCCGGCAGTAATGTCGAAGACGAGTGAACTATCATGGCTATAAGGTTATCAGAGAAACTGTTTCCATTAATCTACTTTAATCGCGATGAAATTTTTTGGTTTTAACAAATCGATATTAGAATCAAGGTTCCATTCAAGTACAACATAAGCATGTCAGCCAATTAAAAACTTTTTTATAATAACTCGATTATTTTTCATTAAAATTTTGTACCTTATTCCAAGTTCTCTTTGTATCTTATTGTACGATCAAAAACATTGGATTTTTATTTTTAGTCTTTTGTTTTGTTAATTGATGCTATTCAAAAAGAAATATCTCAAAATTGTTATGATTAGTTAGTGCGTTCATTTACTTTTTGAACCGAGGCTGTTTTCAGAAAAACCTATTTATATTTGTCTTTTTATCATTTCTGAATTGTTATATATTAGTTTTGTGGTCAACTCTCTTTCTGTATAAATGAGTATAAAGGGTTCATACTACCAGAGTTTTTTTTTTTCGTGCATGGAGATTAGCACTTATTAGAGGAACTGTGGAGATATATCAGAATTTTCTTCACCTTAAATAGAAGTCTCGAAAACAAATATATAAATTCTAATCAGTTCGAACTTAATGTTACAAGAAGCAACTTACTCATCTTGAAGTTCAATGCATATGCTTGTCTCCGAAGGAGGTATTGATGTAGGTCTTCTTTTGTGCTTAACTTTTTTTGGTATCTTTTATGCTTTTTTACATTCTTTGCCTGATATTTACAATACTATACATACAATTTTGCTCTCAAAAAATTTGATACGGAAGAATAATCACTTAGAGGATAAGATTAATTAGAAGAGTTTGCGCAAATTATCTGGATGGGTACATTGAAATTGAGCAGTATTCACGATATCATTGATAGGATTAGGTCTATGTACTTACCTTACAAATCAGATACATTTGTGTTAAGCTGTAGATTTCAAAATGTGTAATGTTGTCATAGAATAAGAAAGTCTGAACTTGTCAGGAGAATATTGTTCGGATTTTTCCAACATATTAGTGATAGGAAAAAGGATTAATTTCATCTTTGACATAATTCCTCTCTTCAGAATTCGCAAGTTATTTTTTCACATTTTTGTTGTGAAGAACACCTAATTTCTTTTCCAGAAAGTGCACAGCACTGTGATGAAAAAGAGATAAAAATGACCAAGAAAGCGGATCAAATTCCTTAGATATTTTCGTTGATCTCGAAACGCGTATTCTTCCTCAAATTACGGTTTACTTTCTTAAATTGTGGTTGAAAATCCGATTGCTAATCAAGCAGAAATTGTTATTGAGTCACAAAGAAAGTAGTTGTTCTTTTTTTCAGCACTTGCAAAGTAGTGATATATTGGTGCAAGTTTTTTATCACTCTTAGCGAAACTTGATCTTGTCACTATCAGTAAATAGATATGAGTTATCTCAGTTATCTCATTTTATGCTAGAAACAGCGCAACACGTTCTTGAAATTAATGAGTCGTATTGGCTGAGCGAGTGATGTGACTTGAGAGATAATAATGCTGCAAGGATTAATGTAGAAGCAATCAATTTTTCTTTCATTTTTTGCGTGATTCTTTATATTTTTGAATTCAGTTGAATATGCGTAACGTATGAGTATAAAATCCAATAAAAGTCTAACCAATTTGTATGATTAACAATTATCAAGCAGCTCTTTCGGTGATTAATGGACTATAAATAAAAAACTGATGAAACTTTTTACTTGAAGAATTTCGCATTCTTTTTGTGTTTATAATATTCGCAATGTATCACTATTTGATGAATTCGAAAATGGGGCATGCGTGAGTGAAGAATCGTACTTTTTTTACATATCTAAAATGAATTTTGTGCCCATTGCAACTCTAATCGGATAAAATTTCATTTCCGCGTAAACTTGAGCATGGCGAAGATTTATTTGCATTCCATGCATTCATTTCCAGTTTATGAAAGCTTAAAGCTGAATGTAAAGTTTATCATTCAGCTAGAAATTTCTTCATGCATTGTGTTAAGTTTTCAAATTAAAAAAGAAAGCACTTTGTTGTTGAGATGTTGTCTTCTCGAAACTCGCACACCTTTGTTTAAAGTATATTTGCATTATATGAAAATTCAAAATAACTACACAGATTTTGAAGAACAGTGTAAGAGCAATCAAATTTCTGAAAAAGTCTACTCTGTGAAGCTTCAGACTCAGCTTCAGATTCGTACTAGAAAAATATAGTTGTTGATAGCACTCCGCCTAAAATAGTACAGGAAGTATAAATAAATAAGCAGCTGAGAAAGTAATAAAAAATAATCAAAACTTATCAGTCTATTATCTGCCTCACAAGTATAACACATTTTCGATCTTTCTTCTTGCTATATCAATGATATAATCTTAAAGTTACCCTACTGAATTTTATTAATAAATTTCATCGTATTATGCCAGTTATCTATTAATTTAAAAAGCAGAGAAATAAATATCAACGTAGCAAAGTGCTATTTGATAAGACACTCAAGCATAACAAGATTTGCAGTAATATGTGAAATCATGAAAACTAAACATTGCATTCTTGCTTCTACTTCGTTAGGTTACTGAAGTCTTTTCTCTGAACGTGAGCTACATCATTTTGAATTGATACTGCTGTGTTCATTTCATGCCATTATTTATTTCAGACTGAAGTGGAGCTTTTATACAGAAAACATATTCTTCTCATGTAAACCTCTGAAATGAAAGTTTCGTAGATTGCCCATGTAATTCAGTTCAATTCAATTCAATTCAGTTACTTGCAATTTGTGTTATAATTACTAAACGTTTGTTTCAGTTCTCATTTTACTGCTGTTTCTGACTGCAAAATGTGCAACTAAATGTGCTCAGCGCTGTCATTTTTCTGGGCTGTGGACTTTCTCAGAATTATTTTAAGAACATTATTTCAGTTTTTTCCTGAATAATTTCTGTATAGTCATATAATTATTTTATAATTGCAAAATATATGATTATTGTAAAGTCATTCAGAAATCATTTAATTATTGCAAAATGAATACATTTCACCACAACTTTATAACAACTATTAATTGCATATTTTTTATTACACGTTAATACTTTTTGTGCTATTTATCTCACAATACATTAAATAATATTTGCATTTTTGATTTCTTCTTGTACAATTCGAAAATTAATGTCTTTCAAATGAAGATTATTGTAGTTCTTGAAAACTACCACTGCAAGGAATATAAGGTGATTTATATATTTTTTCATAATGCTTGCAAAACTTTTACAGAGATATGGAATGATTCTGAAGTGTGTGCTTTGGCTTACTTAGACACAGTCATCATCTTTTTCACAAAGCAATAAAGAGAGGAAGACTTTTATTTGATGCAAGTAAATTATAATTTAAGTAATGGAAGTGACAAAGTAATTTATAAAAATATTTTTGTCTACTTTGCGTTATTTTGATTTTCAATGAATGACTTTGACTGCTCATGTCTATACAAGGGAGAAATTTCCAAGATAGAGAGAAAACTTGATCTTATTTACTGATAAGTAAAAGAAGTGATACGTTTTTGAGCACGTTAATCAAAAGGCATTGCGATCAAGCAGCGATCATCGCAAAAGCTTGTGCCAAAATGGGAGTGAGTGATTATCGCCCTTCTCCGATGTCTTGATATTGTTATCATTATTCTAATTGTCTCAAATTCCCGCTTTTCATTTAATCTTGCCTACCTCATCACAGTTATATCTACTTTTGTTTCTCTCTTATTTTTTTTGTAAATAAGCTCAAGTTTTCCTTTCGTTGACTATTATTATTATATGTCTTAATATTATTCACACTATTATCCTCAATATTTTTTATCACTGTGTTACTATTATCACCGTAGATTTTATCATAGCGCCATAATACAAGTTGTTATCAACGCGTGAACTGATGATAAACGATTAAACATTAAGCAAGTAGGAAGGACACTTCAGAAAGGTGTCTTATTTTTGAGCAGTACGCTGCAAACTCTAGCAACATATCATGCTGCTATAATACTGGTAATTTCATGCTGTGCAAAAGCTTATACATGCGATAAGAAACAACGAAAACAAGCTATGCAAATCTGCTTATATTTAGCTCAATCCTTCATGCACAACTCTAATTTGGGCACGATGTCATATTTTTAAAGTATTATGAGGTAGGAAGAAAACTAAAGAAATACTCCAAAGAAATCACTTTGGTGACGCTGCAGAAGTTACTTGTCCAAAAATCATTTCAAGCTAAGACTTAAACTTGAAACGATTACTTACATTCGTAGCATAAGAATCTGTGGAAAATAAATCAAATTGCTTGTCTTTCGATCACTGCTTTTGCTTTTAGTTTCCATTATACGAACGACAGTGTCAAGTGATTGCAAAAGAGATGGCGTCGTATTTGTTAACATGAAAATGCACATTAATGAGAAAAAATTGCTCGAAAAAATAAAAAAGAAAGAATTACTCTACAAGAAAATGACTTCTTTTCATTAATACTTCTGATTCTTGCAAATATTCTGAAATATTTACAAGATTAAAAATTCAATAAAGATTCAAGAAATCAGATTTCTGCTTATTGTTGTAAAATATTTGTGAAAGATAAATTTCGAAAGACTGATTATTTATTTATGAAAATTATCACTTCTGTCGGCAAAAAAATGTGTTAAGAAAGAAAGAGAAAAGTAGACTTGCGATAAATTCTAGACAAAAGTGATAAAGAATGACTGAATAATTTAAATAATGCCTGTTTCGAAGAAGGATAAAATGTGTTTGTTCGTTGCGTGAATATTCAGATACATATATGTTTATATATGCGAACTTTCTAAGAAATACTCTCAGTACCAAATTCGCTACTTCTTTTACTTTGCTAAAATCAAAAATAGTGCGTAGTGGCTAGAAATGTCTTCTCACTGTATTCATGCAAAAATGCAAGCAAACAATGAAACGGCTACAAGTTGTGTTTGACAAGAAAGCCCAGCATCATCTATTGCAGCGATCCATTTACTACTACTTACTGTGCTGGCTGATGTCAGA